TTCAGTTCTGTGTGAAAGTCATTACTTTAATGGACTGGTACTGTGAAATCAGGTTCCGTTGCCCTTTGTGCTTAAAATAATATCACCAGACAGAGTTCCACGTAGAATAACATTCGATTGAAGGTGGTCATCACATGTGCTGTCAGCTTGAACTGTTGGATGTTTGGAGATGATTTACAATAATCCAGGAAATCAGTTCGTGGCACATGACAAGGTGAATCCAGCTTCGGTATAGAATTAGGTCGATCTGGATTACATCTTGCTCATCGGTGGTGCTACCAGAAGCGGTGCATGGGGGGGGGCTTGGCTAGCCCCCTTCCAAAATTTTGTCTAGCCCCCGCCCCCCAAAAGATTGAAAAATTAATATTACATTGGCTACTATTACGTGCCAAATACTTAAAAACGCGCTCTGTCGGTTTAAATTTTTTCCGGATTCCCAAAGTGAAAGAGCAGTAGGCGCTTTATTGAAAGTTAAAAGTTGACGTCACGTGTGAGAGGCCATCCCCAACCTCCAATGGCTCTAAAACCTCACCTGGGTGCTACAATACTGACGTACATTACACAAGTGTACTAAAAAAACTAATGTAAAGCTAGATAAACTTTAATGCATGCTACAAAACCGTCTCATTACACTTACAATCAATATTCAGCTCAGAGGATAAACTTCTTTGTCCACACTGCACATTTCATTTTTCTCACGGTCCTTCTGCATTCATTGCCTCAAGTCGGATAAAAATCCAACCATTCCAATATTCAAGGAAAGCTAAAGATAGCTGTGTTTCTAAAAAGCGTCTGGACCGTGTTGGTATGAACATGGCATATACAGAAAGGTTTGGTTTTGCTAATGTTGGTTAAACACCAAAATAGCCTCGGTAATTGAAATACTATCCGTCATTACCAGTAAGGTCCAGATCAATACTGAAGCATCGCAACTGCTCATGGACCATAGCCACGTTTTGTACTTAAGGGCATTATCGCTTCTACAGTGTCAGTCAGCGGTAAGTCAGACATCTAGGTGACGGTCATGGGCCGGAAAGATAATTGCAATTCCACAGTTTGATTGTCTTGTTATTCATGTATAAATTTGTTTGCCCCTAACAAATGACTTTCAAACAGGCGATGGAAGACCCATGTTTGTTTATTTTGTCTCACTCGTGCCATGTGGAATAGCAACTTTCCTCTTGCTGTCAAAAAGGTCAAGAAATTAATTTCATTTTTGATCGTCATGCTTGTTTTTTTTTCAGTAATGCCCAACAAATCTATTTCACTAATATCCGTAATTGATAGCATATTATACTGGTACATTCCTAACTCAGTTCACGCTTTTCTTCAAATGATAGTTTATAACCGAATAATTGTTTGCAAGCAAGACGCATGTTCTCAGCTGTCAGTAACGGGCTCAAACAAACGTGACAGGTGCAATCCATATACGCCTCCGTCAACGGAGCTGAAAACAACACTTCCTACACGACCAATCTCCTTCTTTCCCCCGGGAGTATTATTTGTGCTGCATCCGGGCATCATTGCTGAAGGGATGACGTCAGCTTCAGTCATACTGTAAGCTGCGAAAATTAGAATTCGTAAAAGATGCGTTGTATTTTAAAATATGCCACCTTATATCTGACAATAATAATGTCGACTGTATATATATACAGTTGAAATTGTGAATACTACAATTTTCAAAAAGCTTACTTTCCTTTTTTCATTCCAGAACTCCGTATATATCGCTTCTCGTTAGCGTAGATCCTGAACTATATGTTTTTTTTGGGGGGGGGGTTACTTGCTTTTTGGGGAGGGGGAGTTTTTAATTGTTTCATGTAAATGTGGGAAATTTATCTATATGGACTGGAAGTAAGTGTAATCGCTTTGGTCTACGTCTTATCACGTAGCTCAGTCCATAATTGGAATCACGGTACATTTAGATAAGTTATTTATTAAAAAAATCGATTACATTAACAACAACGGAGGATGACATCCCGGAAGTGCTACTACTTGTACATCAGCAATAATGTAATGCTTAACCTATTTGTCTGCCTCTCTGCAACAAACGGACATAAATTCTTAGGGGCCTGATCCACCCCACCCCCGGATCCGCCCCTGATATAAGAATTACTTTTCGAGGTCAAAACTGGAAAAGTTCGAAAACGCATTCGGAAAGATATGCGAGTTACCCGACAGGTTGGGAATGGGAGAGGAATTACACTGTGGCATACAAGTATGATGAAGTTAAAGATTAAAAGGGAAGACGTTACTGAGGAACAATCAGGAACACTAGGTAGGATTTGTTTCCATTTTTTTTCAATGTTTGAGCTTGTAGCTTCCTGGAGCATTAACAATTTTGATATTTCCTCCGTAGACCCGCAGTCGCCTGAACAAGGTTTACTGAGGTTTCATTTGGACCTTTTTACTGAAAAACTAAATGTACGCCTAATCAGCTTTCTTCATAGTGTGAATTTGAATACTGTCAGGAAAAGCTGTAAATTTCCCGATAAAGCCACAAGGTTTTGCATCTTTTATGGTTTCAGAGGGTAGTGATTGATCAATTGGAAAATTGGAAATGTTCCATGTTTCAACAAAAAGTTAATCGAAAAAAATGGGAAGGTCAAAGCGATTTGTACTTTGGTTTGTCATTTATCAAATCCTAGAAGCAGTTCCTCTTATCCAAGTCTCTTCACCGTGCGTATATTTACTCACTTATACTCAAGGCGACGCCTGTGTAATTAGAACAAACGTTGGCTAATTGATGGATGGCTGGCGCCGGGATTAAAGGGACTTGAAGAGAGCTTAGTGAAAGCATGAGTTGCAGGACGATAAAAGTGCCCAGGCTTCCCGAGGTCTGCAGTGGATGCATGGCGAAAGACAAATCTTTGATTATGGACAAGTAAGCAACATCTGTCTATCCACGTCCGAAAAAACGGGATCTGAATAATAGCTTAGCAACACAGGTGTAAATATACGTAGCAAGCTCATTTTATTGCTAAGAAAACTTGCGCTGAGACTAACGTGGCATTGTATAGTTGGGCCATCCGCCAAGCGATGCAATAATTGTAACATCTAGGCCATCCGCCAAGCGATGCAATAATTGTAACATCTCGGTTTTGCAAAGCACAGAATGGAAATGGAAGATCTGGGAAATCTCGGTGATTAGTTTAACCGTTTTCATCGATAGAATCTCAGTGTCTTCTGAGAATTGTGGCATCTGTCCTCTTCCTTTGATTTGAAGTTTTCTTTTTTATTCTGTATTACAGACAATATCTTGGAATTAAAATGGATTGAAATCTAATAAACATCGTCTGATTTCTCCACAGTTTTAAAAAAGATTGCAAGGTTAGGGTTATGGCTGGGTCAGTGGAAAGTTTAAAAGCAGTTGTTTCTAATGTGATGATATCTTTTCTACATCCATCAATGTACAATGACAGGAAACACAATAATGATTGAATTACAGGAACATAGCATCAGGTCTGGTTATTGTTCAAATTGAAGAGGTACAGAGCATGCCTGACTAGAGTTTTTATCACTTTACAGAGAAAGTTTGCGTGAAGAAAATGAAAATACACGAGCAAAGAGAAACCGTAGTGCACTGTATAAATCTATTTTCACCGTTCATTTCCGAATTCAATCAACTAACCATGCAAGTTGGATGCAATTTATTGTTCAAATTGAAGAGGTACAGAGTATGTCTGACTAGAGTTTTTATCACTTTACAGAGAAATTTTTGAAATCTCTTCGCATGAAGAAAATGAAAATACACGAGCAAAAAGAAACCGTAGTGCACTGCATAAATCTAATTTCACCGTTCATTTCCGAATTTAATCAACTAACTATGCAAGTTGGATGCAATTTTGTTAATTAATGGGTCCATGCAAATGGATGGGATGATATTCATCACGGGCTTCATCTAAGAAACCGCCGACACGTGGTATGGAAAGTATACACATTCATGTATTCGCAGCTACCAAAGTAATTGAAGTGGATCATTTTCACTAGGCTTAAACTGTTGAACATTTTTTTTACATCTTCTTATCATTTTTATCAGAAACTGATATTAAGACATTTTTTCCAAAACATCCTTTTTTCCAGGGTTTAAACTTCTCCTTTTGTCAAATATTGACTTTATGACAGTTTGTCCAAAATACTTTTGAAAAAGGTTGATCTTATGTATCACTAAAATTTTTAACTTTTAGGTTTTCTCGAAAATATTTTTATCAAGGGGTTGACATTATAGTTTTTTGAAAAATCAGTACTTCGCCGGTTTCTTCCAAAAACATCTTTTGCAATGGGTTAGCCTCATGATTTTGATGCAAAAATCAATCTTTCGATAGCTTTTTAAAAAAAAAATTGTAAGGGGTTAGCCTTACCATTTCAATCAAACATCAATATGTCTACAGTTTCCCGTTAATACATAATTTTAAAAGAATTAGCCTGATCATTTTGATCAAAAATCAATATTTGATAGTTTTAGAAAAATTCATTTGCAAGGGGTTAGTTTTATCATTAACATAAAAAAATCGATATTTCGACCGTTTTTGAAATAATTCATTCGCAAGGGGTAGTCATCATTTTGATCAAAATCAGTAATTGGACAATTTTTATAAATAAACATATTTTGACAGTTTTTATGCAAAATTTTATTGCATATTTTATTGCATCATTTTTCTCCAAAATCGACGTTTGTACAGTTTTTGAGAACTATTTTCCAAGGGATTAACTTTTTCATTTCAATAAAATATCAATATTTCGACAATTTTTTGAAAGATGTCTTTTGCAAGGGGTTAGCCTGACCAGTTAAGTCAAAAATCAACATTTCGACAGTTTTGGGAAAATTTCTTATGCAAGGGGTTAGCCTTATGATTTTCATTAAAAAATGGATGTTTCGACAGTTTTTGAAAAGTTTCTTTGGCAAGGGGTTAGCCTGATCGTTCTGATAAAATAATCAATTTTCAACAGTTTTGGGGAAAAAAATTAAACCGGACTGATTAAAAAAAGAATGACACTTCCACTTTTCGGAGGATAAATGACCGTTTTAATGAGTCTCAAGACAACACAAAACATAAAAAGCAACGCAACTGCAGTTACAAAGCCAGTGACTCTATGTACAGAGGTGATCGCGCACAATCACTTAAGGACTAACATACCCTTTCTATATTTCCAAATGAACCTACTAACAATCACATCACACATATAAGTCGCATAATGGTTTACATATTACATTTGATGCATTCATCCATATGTCATTCGTTCATTTACTACTGATGCCTTTGGCAAATTGAATACTTTAAATTATTATATTATTACAAAACGCTTTTATGTAAACTTTATACACTGGTTTAAAAAATAAAAACTGACAATTATTAAAAGCAAACTTTCTGTCTTGTATATTGGGGGGAGCTAATCTAGCGTAGAAAAATACTTCGAAACATGCAGTAGAATCTAAACTTGGAACTTAATTAACTCGCATCTACCATAACTACAACTGTCATGTTAACTGGTTATGACTAATGTTTACTACTAGTTAAACTTACGGCACATGAGCATGTACTTAACAAACTGGCTTAAAACCAGAGAAGAAAAGAACAACACATCATAAATGTATTATTTCAACTGATACCTCTTGGGGTTTTTGGCTCTGCCTACTGAACTGAAAGTTCATACTGTTTCCATCTTGCTCTTCTGTGTGTACACGCATGTAGGTGCATGTCTCAATGACTTGAGAAAAAAGGAACACATTTGGTTCCGATTTAGTTTGCTCTGGAGTCAACATATACATGAAGAAGCTGGACAGCCAAGGTAAAGTCATTAAGTCGCAAAACTAGCACTTGTGATCCCAAGAAACCTATCAAGTACATGTACAGGTATATGTAAGACCTGGAAAGAGTCAGTGATAGGTGTACACAATAGGCGCAGCCTCAAGGGCCTGCTGCAAAACGCCCACTGAAATAGGACTGCCTCTTGCAGCACATCTGTCGAGAATCAACCCTTTTGGCTCAAGAATCTTCTTTATGAATTGACACTAACAATCAATGGTGGAAATGGAAAAGAGCAGCTTTTGCAACTTAGGGTACGTCTGCTTTTAAAATGATTAAGTAATTTTCAAGACACCCCTGACACTAAAACATAAATTTATCAAATACGTAACTTATTTAAAAAGAAGATACATGTACATGTAGCATTAAACATGAAACATAACAAGACTGCAAGGGTCCTTCCAAACCAAATCACCAAGAAGAGGGGATGGTGATACCGATTTTTTTTTTCAGACAACTTAGAGTTAGGCGCTGAAAATGTCTTCCGCATTCTACAGATCATGGAGGTATTTCTGACGATTCTCTCCAAAAGGAGAGAAGGTGCACGTATTCTGGCCATTTCTAAAATCCGGTGATATGATATGGTAAGACCTATGCTTTCAGCAGAGGAAACTCAATGCAATAGCTATCAACTACACTGCCAAATACTCCAAGTGCTAGCTTTCATTCAAATTACACATGTACAACAAAAATTGGCTCCAGGAAAACTGACGTACCTAGCAATCACAGAGTCACACCATTTCCTACAATGGAACGCATACTTCAGTAGATGAAACAGACATTTCTTATATCATTCTTAGCTGCTTTAAATACTTTTAAAATCATTGATATTAATACAAATCTCGCTGAGAAATTTGTCTGTCAATTTCACTTTTTTCCTATGTAAAAGTCTGAAAAAAAAAACCAAAAAAAAAACCCAGACGTCCTTCTTTGCAAAACCAGTCAAACTTGGTATCAGGTCTTATTTACAATTCCTTCTGGATATCTATATTTACATATTTACAAAGGAAGACAGTTGTCTGACAGTTTGTGTCATAGCTACAAATGCGAGCCCACAGTTAAAAAAAGAAGCTATCTGTCACTTGTCAGTATCCATTCTGAATTGAAAATGGTCACCATAGTTCTCTTTTTTGGGGGGGGCGGGGCTGGGAAGGAGGTTCCCATTCTATGTGAAAGTACTCGTTGCATTTAAAAGTTAACCTGTAGGTGACAACTTTAAAGTGGGAGGTAAGCCTTTGCCGGCCTTCTCGTAGTAAACTCAAATTAACAATTTAAAAAAGAAATTTTTGATAATTTTGTTGTAAAAGATGATACGAAAATCTCTTTATCTTTCCCCAAACGTTGGTAACCTCCCCAACAAGTCCACAAGTCACAATATTATTTCAGTTATATACTATTAAGAATCGAGCTTTACCTAAATTGTTTGATGATGTTCCAGGCATTTCACAATTTGACTTTAAGTCACAACCCAATAATTGGCAATGTTACTATTCCATAAGGGAAACACAACACACTCATGGTCTAAAGAGACATTAGCCAAACTACTTTTGTTTTGTGTTAAAATCAAAACATGTGTGCCCATGCAAGAATGATAAATCCTAAAATTTATATTAAAAACAGGCTTCCTCAAACCCTGAATTTAAAAAAAGCTGATATGTGAATAAATAGAGGAGAAAGTAAATGTTTACATCAGAGTCTAAAAATCAATTAAAAACATTGAATTCTTCTGAACGAGCTATGAATATGTTAGCTACAATATACACGTCCTAATTCTCCAACATAGCTGCTTTCAATCGCATTGAATTGTCTACTTTTGCTGTTGGATTTTCAAACCCAGACAATTTAGTTGCACAATGTCATTTCTCCATAGTCACTTCAAAAAATAGGAACAAGGAAATACCCCGAAAACCATCCAAAATCCATTGCGAGCATTAAAGTCACTTCTTTTGAAATTTTTTCTAAAAATCTTCAGAAGTAATGCTGAAACTAAATGCAAGAAATGGAATGTTTCTCTTCTAATATTTGGAAACCAAACTTTCATGATACTTAGCGGGAACTCATGATTGCATCATGCTGCGGAACAAATTAATCACTACTATATTTACACAGAAATCAAAACATTTGGGGGGTTTATTTGCCAACTGAAGGTGCTGCTTCAACTTCACTTGCAACAAAACATGTCATGAGTGTGGACATCCTGTCTGAACATAAGCAAACGCCATGCCTGAATGACTCGGCTACAGGTATACATAAAGCATGCACCATTGCACCTACATGTACATGGAAGCCATTTGGAACTTGGAAGTGACTACTGCCAAAGACTTGTGTATCACAGGTGACTGAAGCCAAAGAAATTCCGACATGGCTATCCATACAGAACGTGTGATGGCAATTCATTAGCCTAATGACAAAAATCCAGTAAATCCATGTACATGTATGTATGTATGTATGATGGAAGATAGTACCCACTGGACATCTGTATTTATATTCTCTGACATAAAATTTGAAACTGGTGTCTTCACCCAAGGGGGAAAGCAAGAAAGAGATGTGATGACGTATGCAATTTTTGAGCTCATAACCTACAAAAAAAATGGAACTGTTCAAACAGCCAACTTCAATCAGAAAATGTACAAAATATTTTGTTTTTTTAGCTTCCCCACCTACTGGTCGAGCTAAAGCAATTTTTTTCCACAACCTGCTGTTTGTTCATCCAATTCCTTTGCTGAGCAAATACACAGCTGTGAACCAGCTCAAAGCAATACAAATCAATAGCCAGTTGGCTGGTTCCCAGTTCAATAAGCTGCTTTCAAGAAATGTGATTATTTCAAGTTGACTGGCAAAGCAAACTGATCCAAGGGTTGGCCACACCAATAAGGCAGTTCTTTAGTCAGCAATCAGGCTTTAATCAAGTCATTCCAAAACAGCTTAACAGCTCAACACAATCATCTCTGTAACCTATCCACACTTGCAATGGAGCTATGAGCACTGTACAATGTACATGACATTCATGGGTAAACATGCAAAAAAATCATCTATCTTGGCTATTTGTGATGAAAAAAAGCTTTAACGATATCTGCTGTAAATCAAGCCAAATGCCAACATATATCTTGAACATTACCAGAAGATATTAACTACTGCTCTAAGAATTGTAGTTTTTCTCTCATGTTTACACCCCAAAATGGCATTTGAACAATGCCCTTTATTGGTAACAAATATCATCGATGAGAAGCCTTTACGTTTCACCAAAGAACATTTTCTGTACCTTGACAAGGCAGCCTGGGTCCATCTCATCTTCGACAGCTTGAAGGCATGCTTCTGCTACCAGTCTTTGGACAGGGTCCCGCGTAGCAATCAGCTCACCGTACAAGTACACGCCCATTGACTGCCGAAAGAAAGACAAAGAGAGAGAGGATTATGAAAACAGCACAACATTGGAAGCTGAACTATGCATCTATGGGCTACAAACAATAAAACGGGGCACCTATTCACAAATTGTAAATTTGTTCGGAACAAGCTCGAAAAAATTTGATCATGGTCGTGAATTTTGAACTGAAACAAATGTGGGTCAGTTTTGGAAGCGCTGTCACCAGCCTGATGACAACGAAGTGCTTGCAAAACATTGGAAAACATTTAGCAAAAAGCACAATGGGCTGATTCTACAAATGATACTTAGGTCTTTGGATCAGGACAGCAGCACTGGTCAGTGAGTAGGATATATGATTTGTAAGTGGTGAGCAATGGATTAAAAGCCATCTTCTAGATATGTGCTGCATCCTTAGGTAAGCCGAGACCACAAGCTACACCAGCAATAGTCTGGTAATTAGCCTGACCTGAGATGGACTAGAATCCATCTAGGAACAGACATGCTTTCAGCTGTCCATGGTAAGACACAAAAAGGAAACACACTGTCCTTATAAGCCACACTGGCTAAGGCTAGATACCACATCCTGACACTAGCCTTATAAGCCACACTGGCTAAGGCTAGATACCACATCCTGACACTGGCCTTATAAGCCACACTGGCTAAGGCTACATACCACATCCTAGCTAGCCAGTGACATCATTTTCCACAGATTTTCAGTGACAGCTAAAGAGACAAGCTTATTTGAATAAAGAGAGAACAGCATTTTACTTCTACAAAGTTTCTCTTCAGACTACGCACCTGTTCTTCTAGTAGAAATATCCTGATATCACCATAGCCATCCACATAGCGGTTTCTGATGACCATTTCACACCAGCGATGTCGCACCTCGGCATTCTGCTTGACGAGTCCATAAGTCTCCTTCAGCTGTTGCATGGTCTTAGCGGTCAGTCGGTGACCGCTCTCGATGAGTACCTCCATGAGTAATACCAGCTGGTCTGGGCTCAGCTTGGCCCAGTTCTGATTGCTGGGATCTGTCAGTTTAGCCAAGAGCGCCCCCGTGTGTTTGCGTTTCTGGGGCTTGCCTCCATGCCTGTTGGCCTTGTCAACAGCCAACCACCTATTGCACTGGGAATAGTGTTCAAAACATTGAAAATGACCAGTTGAATGTTAAAACTTGCTGGAGGTTTTAAGGCTCAGATGAGATAGGATTCACTTGCAAGACTACCAAAAATTTCTCAATAGCAAGTTGTAATAGAATGTGTTGAATGAAGTGATGCATTGAACAAGCAACTATGCCAAAGCCACTTCTGTTTCTTTAAACCATGACCTTTATCTGAAGTAGAACCCAGAAGTTTTCCCTGTGGTTTGCATTCTGAGCTGACTGAGGACGTTATAATCAAAGTGACACTTCAAATATGAATTAAATAAGAGCACTATCATTTCTCCTACGTTGGCATAAATTCTCAACAGAGCTGTTCTTTAATTCCAAATCAATCAAGTCAAGTGATACGATTGTGCTGTATAGCGAGAAAGTAAATCAGTACTTTTGTCTGTTTGCCCCCCTTCAAAGAGTAGATGGGTTCTAATCAGTCAACTTTGAAACTGTTTACTCAGTGATGGATTTACAACAAAAGGGGCACCTAGATTTTACGAAAAAGGATCACCCTAGATGGAGAAGAGTCAAGCACAAATGGGACCTAAGTTTAGTGAAAGATTTTTGGTATTAAATAACTAGTTAAAACGTGAATGATGTAAGTTAAACATTTTTTCCTTTCAATGTTACTCCCAAGTGTCACAAAAAACCCTCAGGTCTGGTTCCCTTTTCCTCTATCATTAGTCTTACCTCTGCTTCCACCTGTTGTACTAGGTTGTTATCCCAACTGAAAGTCTCTGGTCGGAGAGCTGATGGCATGCCAGCGCAATCCAGCCACTCGGAACTCACAACCTCCGGGCTCAACCCATTATCCCTACACAGAAAATGACAATCATATTGGAATCATATCAAGCAAATCATACATATCTTCTCATTCCAATATTATAAAGAAAAGCATACTTCATTAATGTTTCGTTAAATTCATCTTGCCCGTGGCTTCAACTTAAAGGGCTCAGACAACTATCCACTTATAATCAATAAATCTGTGAACCTACTGCAGTTGTGGGAATGTCTCAAACAGCATGTTGATGAACTGCTGCGTAAGAACCAGTTGACCTCTGAACCTGTTCACGTAAGATCTGATGAATCGCAGTAACTGGGATGATCCCACTTTGAGTGAAAGATGCTGAAGCAAGAAGTACCCCTAGAAGTTAGATTGATTAGAAAGATTGCAAAAGGAAAAGTTAGAAAATGAGGTTATAGATTTTTTTGAATAAAACAAAGAGAGCAGTGTTGTGTTGAGGTTGACTGCCTGACTAAACTGGAGTGGCTGACTGGTAAGGTTGACAGGTGTACTT